TTATTCAACACAGCCTTGTTACAGACTTCATTGGGACCCTCGGTAAAAGTCGCATGCGAACATTAACCTCGTTATTGTACAAAAGCTCATTAATAACGAGATTGAATACCTCGAAGTCCAACGAAATGTTACAGTGCTGCTTAAAATGTCTTTTCATAAGTTACAAATCCAATGGTCAAGTCACGTAGCACTCAGTACTGCGCGTTACGTACAATTCCCCCAAGCAATACCATTTCCTCAATCTTGCTCATTATTTATTACACCTTACCCGATCGTTTTGTATTGTTCAATGAAGATTAATGCGATCACATCCCATCATTAAACACTAACCGATCCGGTCGAATCAGGGACCAACAACACGATTAACACCGTCATTCCATCATCAATTGAAAGTGCAGAGCTGAGAACGAAACTTACCCGTGTCTGTCAAGCTGATAGACTGCGAACAAAACTAAAGATCCTTTTATTTTTTTTTATTTTTACACCTCTTAATCGTCAAGTATTTTCACAACTTTTTTTACAGCCGGGATGGTTTGGATAAATTTACATCTCGTTTTAACTAGAGTTTGATTATGATTGATTTCCGCAATCCTGTACTCCTGTAAGAAACGAACTTGGGCAGAGTAATGGCAAAAATATTCATACCATTTTAAGGGTAGTTTTAGTTTTTATTCAAACAAAATTGATTAAACGGTCTAGATAAAATTTGGTTGTTACAATCGGAAAAAGTACAAACATTTTGGCTACAGATTGAACTGTTTACCGTTTGCACTCAATGCTGCATTAGGCAACCAGTTTTTAACAACTAATTTTGAAGTTATTAAAGTTTCAAGTTTAGGACAGGAAGAAAGGTGGAGTGTAGTATTATTTTTATCTGCGCGTATTTCTCATCCGCACTTCCCCTCCGATCCTAACTTTTAATATCTTGTAACTTCAAAATTAGTTGTTCAAAACTCGTTATCGACCAATCAACATTTTTAGTACACTATTCTAAGTTTAAAAAGGTAATAAAATATATACGTTACCATTTAAGTTTCTTAAAATTATCACCCTGTATGCATGATTAGTTTTTTTAATTCCTCATTGGCACAGATTTATAGATGGTAAAAAGTAGTTGTTTGGACTTTCAAAAGGCAGGTTTTTGCAAAAAAAAAAACGACGGATGGTACTGTCTTTTAATTTGACATGTCTTCAGAGATTTAGCTGTTCGAGGTACGTCCAGAAAGTATGAGTACTTGTAAATAGTAAATGAAGACGTTTTGTTGTGAATTGTGATGATAAACCGTGGGCAATGCCAACGTCTTCCAAAGTCTTGTGTTTGTTCTCATGACAAGAGAGAGTATAAGCAAAGTTTGAAAAGTTCTGCGGCGACAACGGCGTAATAGAAAAGTTTGTTCGGTAGTACACATTTTCATAATTTGTGCTAAGCACAAACTATTGTTTGAATAAAATAAAAGTCGGTTGCTCTAAAGCTCTTGTCGCGGTCGGGTCAGGTCGGGTTCGTGTTGCCTACAAAAGATTCGGTTTATGGTATTGCTAATGAACATAGCAGAGGAAATTACAGCAGACGGAGTTGTGGTCGGTCGTACTCTCTTTGGAAAAACTACCAACCGTGTGATGTTGTGTGTATCTACTATTATTATCATGCGGGTCCACCGAAATGATACTTGCCTACTAATACCGAGTGTGAGGCGAGTCGCATCAAACTTTACCACGGTTGTGCGGTTTGTACTTACCACGGAGGGGATAGGGTTGCACGTAATTGCATTTGCCGTTGATTAGACGGGCCCTTTGTAAATGTAACAATAGAAGACACCGCGTCTGAAACGTTGAAAAAAGTGCAATGTAAATACCCAAGCAACGCAGTACCGTCGAAACTATGTAAACAGTCCAAGAGCATTGCCGACATGGCAATCTCGCTCAATGTGGACGGGTAAAAAATTAGTTCAAACCAAAGATAGAGTTCTAAAAAAAAAAATCTACAAAGTTAAAATCATAGTTGTCATGGTTTTGAATGTGTACATAGTACTTGAGGCATTTTAAATTAGGAGGAAATAAAATGAAAATGTAAATAAAACGTTTAGTAAAATAATTACAACGCATGGTTAAATCTAACCTAATCCATCCCGACTAGAAAGGAGTAAAAAGTTGAACAAATAAAGTAAGAAATAACAAAGTATTTGTCAAATTAAAAAGGTCTAGGATAAATTGAAACGAGTAAGGAGGGAACAGCGTAAATCTGAAACAATGTTTGATTATTATCGTTTTAGTTAAAGTGATTCATCAGCTTTGAGTGTAAAAAGTTTAATTCAATAAATTACAGTTTTACCAATCTAACTTTGGTAGCGAAAAGAGAAATTAGAAGACATGTTTGTAAACATATAAATAGTGTAATGTGTTATAAGTTGCACATTGTTATCAACAAGATAATAACCTCATGTTTATCATTCGTAGTCGCCGCACAGCATTATAAAATATCACGCGTGTTTTCTCTTACTTAATAAATTTAAACAACTTAATCAATAAAAGTGTTATTTGTTTTTGTTCAATAAAGTATTAGGTTTAATACTTTACAAATCGAGTCATTAAAAAAAACATATTAATATTGATTATAAGAGGGTCGTTTGGTCTGGTGGGATATTGCAGGGATTTTACGTTCAGTTTTAGGTTCTAATATCGACCACAGCTAGTTTTTTTATTTGAACCAAAAAAGTGTCCATACAAATCATAAAGAAGTATAGTCATATTTTCTGCTTCGCGTGGATCCCGATGTCGTATGATCACAGTTGGGCAAGGATCTAATAATACAGCTAATACGTTAACCTCTTCCCTGAACCAACTAAATTAAAATTTATCGTCGGGATGGCATTGCATTGAAATTAACATTTTTTTTTTTAACGTTCTGGATTTGATAAGAATAATTCGGAAAAACGAGTATAAATAATATTTACTCGGCTCGTGGAACACATATTGTTGTGTATGCGTTTAACGGGGGATTAGGGCGTACCCAACGGCCACTGTGAAAATAATAATTTTGAAAATGTATATGTTAGTTTTGACGGGTTGTCACGCGTTTGACGACAAACGGTCGGCCATTTCGGATGAGATAAAAACAATAAAAAAAAACATAAATAAATAAAAGCCCATCTCCCTAAGGGCTTTACATGCCCGTAATAGCACTATCGTCGCGGCCAGTCACGTACTAGATCGACTTATATCGTTGGCGGTAATTCGAAATGCCTAAAAAGACATTTACGGAGACGTTGACTGTTATTTGAATTTTAGACATGCGCTTTCACGCGATGATTCAAACTAGTAATATCGAATAATAATAAAATATATATATATTAATAACGAACAAAACGAGACGGACCGAAAAAGTCGGAGTATCCCTCACACCGTGATAATATGCCCGAAGCTGGTAAACATGAGGGTTTAAGGTTGAGAGGCGACCGTGACCGTATACGTGAGCGGAATACGGTTTTGGCTCTTTTGCTCTTTGCTCGACATTTTCGCTCTTCCGTTCACGTTTCCGTTGAGAAAATACTAATTTACTTCGCCTAATGCGTTATAATATTATAGATACTATCCACGGTTTAAGATAATACGGTCGCCCAACGGCCTACGACAATACTCTGGTTTCGAAACATCTGTTTCGATTAACTACTAGCGCTCCTGTTATTTTAAATCGCGACTGTAATCAACATTTATGGAAATGTTGGTAGCCACTCTGTGGTTCACGGCTACACTGTTCGTTTATTAAATGTCGTCGCCATTTTGTCGAGTGAACAGTTTAACCGGAATGAACGAAAAATGAGAATTTCCCTACACCTACCAGCACTGTCCATTTCTCCATCATTTTCAAGATGACAGACATGATTTTATCTCTTCCCGTAAGAGCCCATGTAAAAATGATATAGTTTCTTTTCTGTTTGTTCTGTGATATTATCTTAAATCGTAGTACCATCTGATCGCGGCCAGCCGTATCTGCAAGACGCTGATAACCTTGATCACTGAACTCAGTACATGGAACGCATATAAGATCCTACATTGGACGCAGCTATGTTGTATACAATTTCATGGAAAGTAAACACGCTACGTTACTTTTCCACGATAACATAGTTATATTTTTGATAAACCATGGAACGAACAATAACTGTTCACAATATGGCGGCCTCCCATTAGTGGACATTTTTTTATAAACAGCCTACTATTAAAAGGCAATACACGTTCCATTCATATTGAGTTTAGAGACCTTAATGTGGTTGCCACAGAAATCGGTTAACAGCTGTCTGACATAATTCGAACAACTCCGTCCGCGTTTTGTTTTTTCCCAAGAAACGCACATGTCGGATTCATCACTGCCCGGTAATAACCTTAACGGCCGTCCGTGGTCCATGTTGGCTATTCAATGCCGACCGAGAATTCCAATATTGACCCTTTTTTGAACAGACAAGTGATTTATTTTTTTTTCTTCCTCGTTCCCTAGAGACGAATCCCTTGGAACCGTTCCGCCGTTGAAAATCCGAACCAGGTATGTACTTTTTCCTAAATACCTCGATTGGTGAAATATTTCCAAGATTCGTAAATTGAACGCCAACACACATTATTAAGGACGAATATCCAACCGCAAAATGAAAAAAATTAAACTGTAACATCTTAACACGTTATTCGAGTGAATAAGTCTACAAAAATAAGTTTGACACTGAGTACAAATAGATGTCAAATTATGTGCCAGTCGTCCGCATTCGGACAACTCGGATTATTTCAATAAATTCGATTTAATGAAGCATGTACTTGGCAACAGGAAGAAGTTTCCGGGAATCATCGAGCAGTAATTTTTGAATAGCCCAAGATTTTTAATGAGGACATATTGGTGGCATCCCCGGAGCAAATAATCAAATAAAATAAACTCGGTTTGTTGGGTTACAGGGAGGGACATCGTGCATGCCGCGTATGGCACCTGCGATGACGGTTAAAAGTTTGCCCTGTGCACTTACCTTGTATATGTCCAGATGGCCGCAGTAGGCGTCGAACTTGTTGTAGAGACATTCCAGCATGTTGACGACCATGAACGGAGTTGCTGTGCTGCAGATAGACGTGAACCCCACAATGTCGCTGAACAACATGGTCACTTCGTCGTGTGTTTTCGCCTCTATCGTCTCTCCTGTGTGTAACGAACAAAATAACAAAAACCATGACGTCACAAGACTGGAAATGAAATCAGTGTGACCACGCAGATTCAAGCATTTTCATAATAATATCACAGATAAGACCATTTATTTTTATTTAATCTGTGATAATATATAGTCAGTTATCATTTAAAACTTATGACTGATAAGGGGTTTATACAATAATATTGTAAAATATCTTCACAATAATTCATACTATTGTTCACGCGGCTACACTGATCTCCTCGCGACTAATTAGGGAGTCGTTAAGATTTTTGTTTTGTTTTCGGCGCTATCTGTTTTTATATAGTCTGTATAATCATACAAAGAACATACAGTTATTATGTAAAATCGAACACTTTTTTCTAAGCAAAAACGGTGGTCTTACATAATATTATACCACTTTCGTGTCCCATAATTGATCCAACCACAATTGACTGTACTGAATATATTGGATCTTCAAGCTCGGACTTGATATAGCTTAGGGTCTTACAATACTTTAAAATTATCAATTTCACTAGCTGTTTACTATTCGGTTCGATATTATTCCACTATTATTACAGCTATAAACCGGCAATGGAATACAGTATAGTAATATTATTTTTTTGCATAAGTGATCTGACCTAACCCCAAGAGAATGAAGCGAATCGAAAATGGTGCAAAAACTAGCAAGCTGTTTTCGACGTACGGTCAAGTTGGGGCAGATTACTTGAGATTTAAGGAATGCCTTTCACATATTAATTATTATTCTGAATAAATAAACACAGAAAATAGCAAAGACATAAATTATAAAATTGTAGATCTAGTAACACATAGTTAATGGTTTAAACACATTATTTTAAGTTATTCCAAGTTATTCCAATGCTATACATAGGCAACATAGTATAATGATAACCATTACGCATCAAGATTGCATAACCAGATTGCCGTCTTACTTTTCACAATAACATAATGTATCTACTAGTTTAGCAATAATATAATACTATAATAAATTATATTTCAAATACAGTTACAAATTTAGTTATAAACATGTTTCGACTTAATCATTTTTCTAGAAACATATAAATAGATTTCATATTTATAATAATAATACAATTAAATATGTACAAGTACATCTTATTTAGATACTTCTGATTGTGGTACAATAATCGTCGACATCGCTTCTGAACACAATGGGAACATCATTATAAGCTTTCGAAAAGTATTCTATTGTGTATAAAATTAATTGTTCAACCATATTTTATACATAGTTGTCAACTTAACGTTTTTTTTTTTAATGAATTCATAATTGCAAACAAAAGAAAGAATTCATGGGATCGTACGAACGGATTAAAAGTTTGAAGAATATTTGTCTGTCTGAGCGAAGTGAGTGGAGATTAAAATTAACTCGTTAAAAACCGGTCGCTTATTTATTATTTAATTTTAAATTACAAATGATCGTTCAGTGTCCGTTTGTTTTTTTGTTTTTTGATGATAATATCGTCTATTCAGTTTTTATTAAATTTAAAAACAAAAATTTCTTCAAATTCAAAAAACCTTCTTAAATTAAAAAAACAGAATATTTTATAGGTATTGTAATTAGTCAATTATTACTATACCACCATTTTCATGATCATTTTATCACTTATTATTTCATCGATTTTCCATTATTTCTCCTTATTCTCTACCTTATTTCTCATTAACGTCTAGAACGACGTCAAGTCAGTTGTTAGAGAAATTAAGATTTAAGTTACACTTTAGGTTCAAACGTTTACCGAGATCAACAATGGGACACGTTTTCGGCTTTCTTGATTTTCTAAAAAATCAAGTAATTTTTATGGTAATAATTGAAATGAAAAAAAAATTAGATGTTGATAATTTTAAGAGCTTTTTGTGAATAAGGGAGCAAATGCTGTACATTAATAAAGATAAGATAGACTGAGTAGACTGCTGATAGAAGATATTGGTTTTAGCTTTAATATAAGAAGATAGACAGGTAGATAGGATTTCGTACCCATGGGGCATAATGAATCTAATTTGAGAAAAATCTGCGTTACATATTAATAACGCTTAATTATTTTTAATTTTCTTTCAAATAATAAGAGATAGAAGGTGGATTCTAATCTCATTGGAAAGAGCTTGTCAAGAAGATACAACATACGAATTAAAAAATGTGGTCATTCAGGCTTACGCTAACGGCCGTTCTGTGCGTCGAATAACCGTCTTAATTGCTTTCTACACCATTCTATACCGTGTTAAAGTTTCAGGTACTTAGGATCCGTACCGCATTGCAACACTCTTCAACAGAACAACTAAAGTAATTACCACACGCTACCTGCTGATGATGAGCGGTTTCGTCTTAATGACGGTTTCCTCTTTGAACGTTTACACGCATTATTCACAAAACGTTATCTAGTGTGTATGTTCAGCGTAACCGATTAAATAACCGCCTTTTTTTTTTTTACAAATTTACTTGCAATTATTAGCTGTTTTATCGAATTTCCAATCGGCTGTAATCCGACAGCTAAAGAATAAACACCCATTGTTTTTATACACAGGAAATATTTCGACGAACAGCCATTAACATAAAAAACCTTTCAAAGTCTTAATAACTTCTCCGTTTTAATATTCAAAAAAAAAAACACAGAATAATGTTTTCACTATAGGTGAGAACTGCGGTAAGAAATTATTGAGGGGAAACTGTAATGTAAATAAAATAAACGATTGGTTAGCTCTGCTAATTAATTGATTTTATTAATTAACTATATTAACGGTATTTTAGAACAAACTTAAGGAACATTCGTGGTTGTATATAAAGTAAATAATCAAATATTTCAAAAACCTTTAAGGTATAATACAACCGAATGTTAACTTACAAACAATAAACAAATCAAGATAATTACTTTATATAATATACTTTGAGATGAACTGCAGTAAGTAACATTATTGATTTATTTATCAATTATAATAATTAAAACGAAGGGTAAGCAAAGTATCATTCAAGCATCTGAGGGGTCTAAACATTCCTAGAAAATTATTTGTACGACAATTATAATAATTAATGTACTTATATTATTTATAGCTTGGGAAAATAAGCAACTAGAAAAATAATTTCAGACGTATAAGTGATTAATTAAGAGGCGGCGGTATTAACACAAAATACATCTAATGAAATGTTCAAAAATAAAATCGAATATTTAATTAAAATATATATTCCTTCTTTAGAAACTATTAAGCAAAAGGCATTAACATTTTAAATGGGTTTCTAGAAGCTGAAAGTGTAATTATCAGGATTAATGTTTTTTGTTAACGTTCAACACATCAACGTGCCATTTTAAAATCCAAGTATTATATTATATTATTATATATAAAACATTATATTATGTTGTATATATAACACTTGGTTGGTTCCTAGTATATCGTTATCATAAACCACGGCTAGTGGTTGAAATTAAAACGCAAACAACTGTAGAGCTGACTTGCAGTAAGTGAGTTTATTGAATATAACTAAGTATGAATAAATAATAAGCTTTATCTTAGAATAAACCTGTACATTTGATTTGACTTTTCATCCAAGGTCACAAAATAGTAAACGTAGTAGCAGATTATTTGTTTAGAAAATCATTATACATTTTCCTCTCCGCGTTCGTTTCGAACGATGGTTCCTTTGTTTAAAGTTGTTCCACTTGAATTTTAAGTGTGAAACTGTATACTACACTATAGTTGGTTATGTTGAAAATATTTGTTGTAATATAAACAAAAACGGTTATAGTATAAATCCAACTTTTTTATTTGGGAGGCAAATAAGATGACTTACCACAAAATAAAATAAAAAACGCAATGTCTACCAATATTGTTACTCCTCGAGTAACTGGCCAATTCGATTACTTAAGAAATGTTTTTATTTTTCGTTTAAAGTTACAGTTGTCATTGCATTTGGTCATGACAATTCCGACGACAGTAAAATATTATAAAGAGCGAATTTCAGAAAAAAACTTTTTAAAAGGAATTTAACATTGGCACTAGGACACTACTAGGAGACTAGGACATTACTAATAATAATATTGGACGAGTGTCTGTTTGGCGGCACTTTGACGGCAATACGTGGTCGTCCCTGGGGATGTTTAGAGAGCAAGACACTTAACCCTGACCGTCGTCTCGACTTGTCTAAGAGCTCTTTCCGTTTGATTCGCTCCAAAAGGTTTGGATGTATTTTAGGAATGCAATAAAAATGGCTGAAAGTTTATTTTCGCTCAATGAAAGCTACTTACCCAGCCATAGTCGTTTGGCGATGTTCGGTGGGAAAATCATGTGTAGCAGACTGACGTTCTTTTCTCTTTCCTTTCCCACGGCCAGGTTGGCCTCTTCGATCGAACTCTTTAACTTGTCCATTCTTCTGCGGAGACCGTCCTAGAAAAAAAAAGAAAATAGGTCAAACTTCCAATACACCAAAGTGATTAGGTTGTTATAAGATACAATTATTATTATACATGTATTGTGTTATCTAACACGGTTTATATTTTAACCTTTTATAAGCCAATTCGATTTTAGCTATTTCATAAAATATCTTTTTAAAAATTATTATAGAATCATCAACTTTGATAATGTCAATAATACCATAATTTTATTTAAAAAAAACACCAATTTCAGATGTAGAAAAAATAATATAACGTTCAGTGATTGATACTCAAATTAACGTCAACTGCGGTTGTACACACCAAGTCACTTTGGGCGGTCGTACAAATATGTCACCTCGTCACGATTATCTTTTGGATACATCGACAACCTGTAATACATGACCATGTCTACTACAAGCGTCTGCTTGCAAACAAACCTAATATCGTTTCACTCCAATCGTCCGTTCTACCGTATATAAATCCATTATCTTTATTAAATGCAGTAACAGATTATTGTTTATACGGTTTACGGTTACACCTATATTTTTACAAATTGGCTTTGTGAACATTTCGGAAGCCTTTCATCTCCCATGCTGGTTACAAATTACAACATGTTGTTGGCTCCACTGCTGCCTGAAGACTGAAGCGATCGTCTCCTCGGCCGTAGCTTATACAAGTGATCATTGTTTTGATGTAATGTGATCTCAATTTTCCACAAATGTTGATGTCCCCTCTCAACTTAGTTTTTTTGAAGCAACTTTTGAAATTTAAATGGTAACGCATACACTTCATTAACTTTTTAAATTGAGAATAGTGTACTAAAAATGTTGACTGGTCGACAATGAAATATATGCGTTACCATTTGAGTTTGAAAAGTTGATATAAAAATAATTAGTTTGGAGGGGTTTGAACATAAAAATTTGTGTGACGATTCAGATCACATTATATAAAAACACTATGAAAAAAAAATGAATTTATTAATTAAACCCAACGAGGTATTGAGTGGGTCACGATAAAATGATCACCTTGTACAAACTTCAACCGGGTTATTGTTTTTATGGATTTTCACAATAAAGATATTTCGAGTGATGTGTTTGGAAGTTTTATCAGTCATCGACTGTGCTTGTGACCTATGGCGGAGCGTTCGACGATAACAACAAGACTTGTATTGAAAAGACCTTATGTCTGTTTTATTCGACGTGGAAGGGGATAGGGTGGCATTAGAGAATATCGCACATTATAGTAGACCCCTGCAAATGTTTGTCCACTGACAAGTACGGGATATTATAGTTTTTTTTTTTTTGTCGACCGACATCGAGTCACCTCGGACGACCATATTTCATCCGGTTACTTAAACGTCGTGGCAGGGCACACGTGTGTCGTTTGCGATTCTTTGTTCATCGTCGTAAATCCGTTAAGTGATATAACTAACGGAAAAAATCAAGTCCGGTCCACAGGACCAGCTAACCGGTGGAGGAGAGAGAGTCGACCAACAAGTGTCGTTGTCGCGATTATTCCAGTACAGTCCACTAAACACTTGGCAATACATTATTGTTATTTCGACGAAAAACCCAGCTAAAAGAACCTAACAGGTGCTAAGGACGTTAATAATATCCGGCTCGGATTTCGGCGTATCCGGGTCGTCCAACACTACAGTGTGAAACGAAACTTTCGACGTTTCCAAGAGAAGTGAAAAGTTTTAATAAAATACTAAAAGTTTGAGCGAATGGATGTGTTTTTTTTCGCATTCTGTCGACGAGATAATACAACGAGACGAGTTCATCAAGATTTCTTTTTTTTTTTATTATTATTATTTAGTTTTGATACGTACAAGATATATAATATGAAATGAAAACTTTCTCGATTCCCAGCCAACGCAGAGATAGCACGCATTGTACACGACCAGCTAGGTAATCATTTTACCATCGTTACCAATTTTTTTCCCCCGCTTTAAGTTTAAGTGATTTGTTTTTTATTTTTATCATCAACGTAAATATACCAGCTATAGTCGTGTACTGTATCCGTCGCATAATATTGTATTTTTTGTTTGTAGATTGTAGAAAATGACAAAACAATCTTAACTTTTACCCAACAGAAAATAGGTCATTTGAAATGTGCACAAGCAACTTGATTAAAAAGAAAAGTGTATTAAGCGAACTGTTCTTTTTTTTTCCAAAGCGCTAGGGGTCGCCTGATTTTTTGATGATATATTAAAATTATAAAAAAAAATTACCTACGTAAAACTTTTTTGATTTTTATGATAATTTAAAGTTTTTGTACATTTATTTTTGTAGCCCAAGATCAGATTTAGGAGGGATAACTTTTGAAACATAAATTGTAACTTAAACATTTAACTCGTTTTTTTTTTTTATGAGAATAATTTGTTGAAAATGTTTACGGGTCGACAACCAATTTCGAATGATTATTTTTAAAGTTATTAAAGTTTCAGACGGGAGAAAAGGTGGAGTAGTTTTGTTTTTATTTACAGGCATTATTCAACCACAATCAACCAGGTTAAATTTTCCATCTGACAATCTCTGAAAATCTACTATTGAATTTTTATGTTAACAATTTTATGTGATTATGAAATATAGATTCAGCAGACATGGTAATTTTTATGTATAATTACTACAACTTGTAGTGAATTCACTGATAGTAAGTACCACGTGTGCTTTTATTGGAATTTGGCCAAGAAGTATGAATCTGCAAGGATACCGAGCACAAACTCTAAGCGGATTATAATAATATCTTATATCAAACGTCTGAACATTTCTTTTCCTATTTTACCGCAGTCTGTCCCAAAAAAAATATCAATAGAAGAAAATAGTTTTTTTTCTGTTGCTAGTTTCCGATATTAGTTGTACGCCGTGTTATACGATTTTCGTAGGTTGCAAACCCTAATAAAAAGTAGCTTAAGCCTAAAACTATATTAAAAAATATTTTCTTCGGCCTTACGATTCCCCCGAGAATAAGCCTATAGAAATAAGGTTTAAAATGGTATAAGGATTTTTGTTCAATGTTCAAAATAATTGTCAAACGATAGAAATAAAACGTAAGGACTAAGGAGTGGAACGGTTTTGGAAAACTAATTAAAATATTTGAAAAAAAATACTGACAACACATGAATTTTATCTTAGCACGAATATTTTACAAAGAAAACATCTTAACATCGTTCTTAGGTGTAAAAAAAAAATAAATAATTTTACCAGCAAGTGAATATTTAAAGTATATTATATTTCATCATTGGAAAAGTGTGATGTATTTTTTTTAGCTTTCAGTTGGCTTGTGGAAAATTGTAAACTTTTCCCAGAAAACGGGCGAGGATTTTTTGTTTTTAATTAATACATATAATATACATTTAGATTAGTACACGGACTTGCACTTAACGATTTTTTTTTCTCGAATTTCCTTCGATTTAACAACGAGTTTCGTTCGCACCCCACGGGCTTGTAATAATTAATTATTAAAAATGTCAATTACGAAAACACTTTGGCATTGAAATATGTGCAGCATCGGTCATACGTCGAAATTCATTGTAAACCCAGACGGAGCTAAATCGGGGATTAAAATATAAAAATAAAATAAAAACTCAGCTACTTTTCATATATTTTATACAAAGAAAACAATAACGATTTTTTAATAATTTTAAATTGGGATTTCCCGCCAAACAACACGATATTGTACCTACAAGCTTTGGGATTTTTTTTATTTACAAAAAATTAAACAACTAACGTCAATTGCGTTATATATGAACTGCGGTCGAGTTTTTCAAAACATGTGTCAGAGGACTTGATCTACAGATCAATAGTTATTAAAGCCTAAAGCAGAGTTATATATTTGCAAAGCTACCTGTAGCCACATAGATAATGAACTAAAGAAATTTGATTAAGATTTAGAGCACAAATGAACCAAGTCCATCGCTGCTGATTTCCAGTAATTGGCTATTTGAGATTATCTACTGTTTAAATGAAAAATTGTCAACTTGATAAATGCTCAAACTTAAAACTTTGTGACGGCGCTCACGCAACATTGTGTTTACAAAATAAAAAAAACTCATATCATTTATAGAACAATTTTGCTAGGTATTTATATTTTAAACATTTTTTTTTAACGGCTGCTCTGTAATTCTTTAATTGTTTTCAATAAATAAAAATATGTGGACGTCATCGTGCTGGTCAAGAAGAAACTATGTGTCAAGACAGCATCTCGTTAAAATTAAATATACATATTATAACGGAATTATATTACATTATATAATTTTCATTTTACAATGGTGTACCCACATTTGTTCATTACTCTTCCCCTTGGTCGTTATGAAGAGATTCCCATCCGCATTAACCGTAAAGGCTCTACAATAATATACTCAGTGTATAATTGTTATACTGTGACATTCATAAATTTTATACACACACACACACACACACCGGTAGTGGCAATCATATATTACACCTAATTTACACAGCGACAATGAAAATAATTATTAGCATTGTATGTATGCATAAGCTGAGAAATTTACATATAGAATTATGTTTGTCTTTTTTTTTTAAAAAAAAGGGAGTTTTGTTTTTAAAGTATATATTTTTATCTTTACACTGCCATAAAATGTGACGGTTCGTGCAATGTACCTAGTATGTTTGAGCTAATCAGTTTTCCATATTGATTTATTGTGACTCTATTATCATTGGATTTGATCGTTATAGGTTTGAAAAAATACTTTTTGGTAAAAAAAGCTTTTAAAATAATTTTTGTTTTATAAAAAATTTACCCATGTTGGTGGCAAAAAATATTGCTTTAAACAATACATATTTGTATATATACTTGAAGTAGCGCCAAGAAGCTTTTGTATTTACATTTATGTGCATTTTTTTTTCTACTTTTGGAAAAAAAGTAGTCATGGTCGGATCTTGTCATGAAAACATTTAGAGTTCCCAAAATGATCGAACTAATAGTTTAGTAAATGAAAGTCTAACAAAATCAAAGTTTAATTAGTTATAAATTGTGTAGAACAATTTT